CCATGGTGCGCACCGCTCTCATGGAAGGCCCCCGTTACCATAGCGACAGGGGCTGCGCCGCGCAGGGGCGCGCTTAGAAGGCCCCCGCTGCCATAGCAACGGGGCTGTCTCACGCAGGGCCTGACTAGAAACGTCCCCACCTCCCCAGAGGGACTGGCTCTTCTCTCGGCCCGCACTTCTCCCCAAGTTTGCCGTTCCCAGGGCCGATCCCGATGGAGGGAGCAGAGTGGCCCTGCTGTCACCCCGGGGCAGCAGGGAGGGCAGGCGAAGCCCAGCACAACACAGCCACCTTTCTTTAGAAAATGGCCCAAACAGGAAAAAGCTGGAGTGGCCCCGTGAGCTGTGGAACAGGCCCAAGGCAGGCCCATGACACCTGGGCCAAACCTCCTCGATCCCCCCTGATGCTTCAGTAGCCACAGCCTGCGGCTGCCTGTCCAAGGGCCGGCAGCATGGCTGGTTGAATCCAGGCCCAGGAGGGCAACTGCCTCCCAGCAGCACCCACCAGGTGGCCAGTGGCACTCACCCTGAGGGATGGAGGCCTTTTGCTGGCTTCTGTGGCTTCACAGCCCAAAGGGATGGATTTCACACACTAAACACTCCAGGATTGTTTCTAAAGAAGAGGACAGTTCTCAGCTGAGAACTGGAATTATTTATTGCTCGTTGTCCTCCCCCACGCGGAAGGCACAGCAGCCTCCTGCGAGGAGGGCACAGCCATCCCTTGGATAGCGTGTGGGGATGCCACCTCCTCAGTCTGACAGAGATGAAGTGTTGTAGGATGCTTTCTTCAGAGTCTCCAGGAAGAACTGTTCATCCTCTAAGAAATCACGGTCCTGAGAAGAGAGGGGTGGATGGGATGGGTATCAGAGAACGCCACAGAAACGGGGTCACAGTCCAGGGTGTTGCTCATGAGTGAGGGGAGTATCCCAAACCCTCCTTTAAGCAGTGGGCCAGTACCCACCCGTGGTACCCCCTGGGCTGTAGGGGCTCCCCCCAGAGCCTATAACCTCAGACTGAGCAAGACCCACAGAAGAAGCCTCAAAATGCATCCCCGCCTGGGGAAGGACCCAGCAGGGAAGCAGCGGGCTGATGGGAAAGGCTGGGGAACATCATGAAACCAGAGTCCAGCAGAGCTGGCTTATCCCACCCAGGGATGGGGTGAGGGAAGGGGCAATCCCATGGAGCCAAGGGTGATGTCTGTCTCAGGTTGGACATCAAGCCAACCTGAGATAAGCTGTGAGGATCCACCCATTCTTGCTTCTGGTATCCCTCCTCTACGTGCCCATGGCTTCTGCAAGCCCTCCCAGCCCAGCAGCTCAGTAATGATCTTAGCAGACACCCCGTGCCATGGCTATCAGGCGTGAATCAGGCTTCACCCAGCCCTGCTCCCACCCAGCTGGTTCAAAGCCCCTTGCAGCCCCAGTCTCCCCACCTCCTCACCTGCTGGGCCCTGTGTTTCAGCAGCAGCAGTTTGGCGTAGAGCTCGGTGGGGCCGGCCATGGCCAGAGTTTCCCTGCTACTCCCCAGGCTGTGCCAGGGGAGCGCCTGGACAGGAGGCGAAAAGCCTGGAATGAGAGCCCAAGTGTGTGGTGCTGCCACCATTAGAGGAACTTCAGATGGAGACAACAGAGCATCCCTTCTTTTGCTGCCTGCATGTCCCTGCAGCAGGGTCCTCCCCAGCCTCCCAGTGCAAACAGGCTTTAACCCACCTACCTCTCCGTTCCTGCCCTCTTTCCCCCCTCCTAGCACTGCCCGGGCTCAGAGAGCTCCACTGAGCTCCTTCAGAGGATGAGGAGGCCAACACCAACTCACATCTGAGGTTTATATACAGGAATACTAAAACAGCCCCCAGGAACATCCCAAACCTCCCGAGGAGTGGAATACAACTGCAGTTTGTCCCTTCCCATCAGCAGCGTGCAGAAAGCCTTACACAGTGTGCTGGAGAAGCCTTTTGTAGGGGCGCTGAGGTCCTGGTCTGCGGTCAGCAGCATCACAGGATTGCTAGGCAGCTCCTCGCGTAGCTGTTCGAGCTGTCTCCTCTGGTGAGCCATGCTCAGCCGCTCCTGTCCCGTCCCCAGGAGAAAAAGAGAGAGAGAAGCTGTTGGCAAAGGTTCAGGTCCTTGGCACGGCAGTCCAAGACCAAGAAGGGAAGGCAAGGGGGTATTTACCTGGTGCAGACGCTGTTCCTGCTGCTTCAGCTGCTCAAGGTTCTGCTGCATGACCTGCAGCTTGGTCTGGTGCTCAGACTCCATCCTGCATGCCTCCCGCAGGGCTCGCTCCCCTTCCTCGTACTTCTGGGATGAGAGCTACAAGGCAGAGCAGCTGGGTAGGCTGGGGACAGGGATCCTCACTGCACTGGGGCAGGGCTCCTTTGTGCATCCCTTTATTCCCCTCCAGGACCGGATTAGGATTGAGGAGGGGTGTGAAGCCCTGGCTTTGCTGCCGGCCCATGTACAGCTGTGAACTGCAGCCCAGATGCTCCCCTTACCTTAGTCATGCTTTTAATCTCCTCTTCCTGCTGCCGGATGCGCAGTGCAGCCCCATTCACCTTCTCCTTCTCCAACCTCAGCTCCTGCCAGGCCTTGTCCAGCAGCTCTCTGTCCCTCACCAGCTGCTCCTCCTTGGCTTTCAGCTCACGGCCCCGCATCTTCAGTTCTGCCTGCTCCTAGGATGGGCATGGGGGAAACTGATGCATTACCTGCCCTGTCCTGGTCACTATCTCATGTCTTCCCAAGTGATGGGATCTGCCCCTGTTGAGCAATTTGTGTGTGCCAGTTTGGGGTGCAGAGCAACAACATCAGGTGCTCAAGCACTGCCCTCACCCACCCACCCTTGGGGACCAGGGCTGGCAGAGCTGGGATTGTACAGGCACACACACACACATGCCTTCCCCAGAAAGGATGGAGCCCCTCACCGTGTTGCACACCCTAAAACACACTCAAGGCACCACAGTTTGCCTGCAGTGGAAATACCCAGCCTGAATGGTTATTTTCCACCCTGGTAGCCCTTAAAGATGCAGCTCTGCTGCACTGTCTGTGCTACGTATCCCCTCTGGACAGCTCCACAGGGGAGCAGAACTGGCTCTGGACACGTCCCCATGGCACAGGGAGGTTTTGCCTAACCCACCATGGGGGCTTCCTCTCACCAGACTTACAGCAGAGGAGGCTGCGCCTGGTCTGGCTGCCCAAACTCCTCACAGACAAAGGTGACTGATGTTTCAGTCAACATCTAAAACAGGCTGGTGGAGGCTGTTCCTGGAACAGCCTGATTCTCACCACCCCGAGTGACATCTCTGTCTTAAACACCTGAAGGCAGCTCTGAAGGTCTCTCCTGTGGGCAGAACCCATCCGTGAGCCTGCCAGGTGGTGCTGGAGGCCACAGGAAGGGGCTCTGCTGTGGTACCTTGGCCAGGCTCATGATGGTGCCCTCTCTCTGAGAGTCCATCTGCAGGGCTCGGTCCATGTCCCACTCCATCCGCTCCTTGCTCAGCTGCTGCCGGGTGTGAAATTCAGCCCACTCGGCCGCCAGCTTCCGTCGCTCCTCCGAGCACTTCTGCATCACTGACTTCTGCTCCTCCAGCAAAGCGCTCTGGAGAGTGCCGCAAGAGCAGGAGAGAAAAAGCACTATGTCCAATTTGCTGTAGGATCTTTCTCCTTTAATCCATCTCTGCCACTGAACCCCACGCATCTAGAGGCTGGTTCAAGCCCATGGCACCTGGTGTGAACCCTGCATGGAGAGCTCTGGTCCCATGCTCCTCAAGAACCAGTGTGCATCATGCATGCACACATCAGCCTCTTGCATCCGCCTGCCAGAGAGTTGGCCTGACTGCAATTCACTGTGCGACCAGGTGTGGGATTGAGGAGGCAGAGGAAAGATGCTGCAGCCCAGCACCCAGCTCTTTCCTCCACCACACACCGCAGTGCTGCCCCATTCAGACTCACAGGACCTCTGAAAAGCAGCTGGAGATATCTGCCCCACCTCACCTTTGCCCTCTCCAGCTCTGCTCGCTCCATGGAGAGCTGCTGGGTCGTGACTCGCCGCTGCTCCTCCAGCGAGCGCTGCAGCGATTCCACTTTGGATTGCTCTGCTGTTGCCCTCCATCGCTCCTGGGTTAGGACACAGAGGACAGACAGATGCCATTCACAGGCTGCAGGCCAAGGACCTCCACTGGGAAGACATACGCCCCACACCCAGACAGGAGGGCTGACCCGGGCAGAGGATGCAGCATAGGCTCACCTGCTCCAGCAGCCGCGCCTGCTCACCCACCCCTGACCCCC